GGCATTCTTAACAACTAAACGGTATCTACTTTCTAGAAATCGTTCACTGATGCAAGCATAATTAAGTGCTATAATTTACTCGTAACAATCGTTTGCTGTTTCCAATCTTTTTTCTGATACAAAGATTTCAGGAAGCGGAACGAGGAATGATGCCCTCCTAGAGGACCCTTCCAGGATGTCTTCTCTGAAATTAGGCTTTAATCAAACTAATTTTTTTGGCGTTCAGTTGTTTTCCACAAATAATTCCTGTAAATCAGGTCGTTGCGCTTCAATCCTTCATTGTTTTTTGAAAAATCATTTTTTTTTTTGACGGATACTGTATAAGTTGGCGAGACAGAGATTCAGTGGTCAGAACTGCTAAAGAGCAGCAATCCACCTATCAACTTTGTTTCATTACACCAACTCGAACTTGAGAACCTTCAACTTCTTAACAATAAGTCAGTAGCTTACTATCTAAAAAAATAAGAAAAACCAAATTTAAATAAACTTTTGATTGTAAAAAGCTTTAAAAATATCTAAAAGTTTTCTACAGAAAACTCTACTTAATTATTTCAGTATAGATCTCTTTAGTTTAACAGAAATTTTTTTTTGTTCCATTTTTAAAAGTTTCATTCTGAATGTTTATCAACAACATTAAAATTTCACTAGTGTCGCTAAATACAGAATAATACGATTAAATAGAAAAAAAAGTGAATAATTGGTTATAAATATTACCGTAGTTATTATAACCTTTCAAGAATTTACAGAAATTTTGCAAATTTTTGTCTGTATAAAAAAATAAACAAAAAATTTTTTTGACAAATTGTTATAAACAGTAATTCTGGAATACAAATTAACTACAGTAATAATGATAACACCAAAAATAATGGTTAAAAAACTGACATATCGATGCTAGCCGAATGCTGTCGGATACCCTGGGCTCGTCCATCCAATAATGCACTCAATGCAACTCGTCGAAACGGATTACCATGATGTTCCTGTACAAATATCACATAGGCTCGAACATCATGGTATAAACTCTGAAAAGATGCTAACATCATTTCTGAGAAAATCAATAGCAACAGTTATCACTGAATCCATTTTTTTCTAGAAATCTGATATCACAGTTTGTGCAGCATTAAGCCAATTTTTCTTTTCACTACATCTAACAATTAAATTGTTACATATTATTCTTTGCCTTTTTTTTTTTTGCTTAAATTGTATACTGAATTGTTTTTACCATATTTTCTGGTTGCATTATTTCCTCAAAAGCATTGGCTAAACGTGTGACAGACGGCTTAAAAAGAACATCTACTACGTTCCCTTCGATACCCTTGAGACTTTCATTGAAGTGATTCCAGTAGTTTGGCGCTTTTGGATCATTTGACGGAATATTTATCTTACGCGGTGAAGAATTACACCAAGTTCGTGTAGCTATAATAAATCTGCTTGAAAAATTGAAAAAAGTTTAAGATTAATTTTAATTTTATCCTTTTTTCTTCCAAAAAGTCCTTTCCACTGTCTTAGTCATCTACAATCTCAAGTTGTTTTGATCTTAAATCCCTATCAAAATAACAGAATTAGAAAAGTTAATATCGAAACTTATGCAGTTTTCAAAAATTTTAAAAGTAAAAAAATCTCAAAATATGAACTGAGCAAACAAAGAAAAGAAGGATCTGTAGGAAACAATCTGTAGGAAACACCTAGATCAAATCAGCATTTCTTATTCAAAAGCTTTATAAGAGCAAGTTTTTTCAACCGCTAGTAAATGCATCATTGATATACCTGTATCAACTTTACAGAAGCCGGTAATTGCGTGCATGACATCAACAAGATTCTGGATGTTATATTCCTTGACCTGATCGACAACTGTCTGCGTAAAGATCTCTGGATTGATTCTGTGCATCAACGCAAACAAAGTACGAGCTTTTATGCGGAGGAAATCTGCTTGTGCCGTACGCATTCCCTCATTACACCCGTGAGGACATCCTAACCAAAGGTAAGATCTGTAACGTGAACTTTTTGCTAAACTCCCATGTAACTCTTTTGAGAAACCTAGGTAACGCATTTAGTGAAAAAATTTTTTAAAAACGAGCATCTTCTGAAAGTGGTAAAATATCTATAGCAAGACCTGAGAATAACTTTAATATTTTCCGAGAAGAATTTTTCTTGGTCAATCCCGGTCATGCCGAGGATTACATCGCATATGCTTAATGCAAGTTCACATATTCGAATACCAAAAAAACGTTCCATCACCAAATTCAATGCTTGCATCACTACCATATAACTAAAACGGCCATCTCTCTCGATAAAATTTGAACTTCCTAACGCCTGTTAATTGATACACGATTTAGCAACAACTAATTTATACAATAACAGTTGGGAAGTTAGTCGAAGCTCGGCAAAAAATTCGTAAGTGTAGAAATATTTAAAGAGAAATTTTGCAACAGACATCAAATGTTAAAACATACTTCGGGATAATACTCTTTTGCAGAACTAAGATGATCATTTGAACTTCGGACACCGGCCATTGAACCGCTACGTGTATTGTCACGATTTAGAAGGTATTCAGAAGAATTACTTAACGACGGATCGCTTCTAAAATGTTACTGTTGTCGACAACGCAGCCAGTGTAATTCATAAGTAAAATTTTTCGATAAGTTCTTTCTATCTACGTTGAAATTCCGTAGCTATTTGCAGAATTGCCTTTTTGTTACTGTTGTCGACAACTAAATGCAATAAGGTTACCTGTTCCTTTGTAGCTTCAGACGCCTCTCCTGAACTTTGCCCATCGATGAAGCGGTTATGCTGTTTCGCCGACGACCTTCGTTAATTTTGAGTGATGAAACAGATGCAAGCGTTGAAGCATCGTGTTGTCTAAAACGAAAATTCTCACTCCATATAGTCCGGCAAAGCAATTATCAATTGGGAATATCACAAAACCTCTCCCCTGCTACTAGTTTTAAAAATCCAACGTTACCAATAATTTTTAGTTTTAAAGTAACCAGAAAAACATATAAACTGATGAGCAAACGGAGGAACAAAGTTCAGTAATGTGAAAAGTTACAAGGTCAATAACTGTTACCAAGAAACGACTGGCGAAAGACTGGTAAGTTGTGTTTTATGCACCTATAGATTTTTTTTAGATTTATTCATAAAACAACAGGAAAATCTAACAATGCCATTTTTTTGAATAAGATATTTGTTAAGTTTGACATATTATAACTGTTGGTGCCTAAGGTTCTAAGAAAAAGAATATTTTCTTCAAAAATGATAGAACTGCCCATCACTGATTGGTTTTTCTTTGAATTAGAATCAAATAAATTTTTTTGACAAATTAGTTAAAGCTGATGGGAGGCTTATTTTACTTGAACTCTTTATACTTCTGGAAACGATTTCAATATGGTAAAGGGACTTTTTCAAAGCTTTTACGGCTTGATCCTACTAAATTAGCTCAGAAACAAAAACAAAAAAAAAA